CTCCGAAAGGAAGACTGGGATTGGTTGGCACGAGCACTGAAGGATCTGTCTTGGTGCCTATCCCCCCCCCCTGCCTGAAAGGGTCTCTGGTAGGAAGAAGGGTGAGAGGATTGCCCTGTTTCCTGACTCCTGTAAGGTCTCTTACCAAAGGACCCCGCCCCTTTCCGGTCACCCCTTTTAAGGGTTGCAGGAAGGATCTTGCGTTTGTCTTTGGTTTCGGTGACAAATTTGTCCAGGGCCTCTCCAAACAGAAGGCCTCCCTTAAATGGGGCCGAAGCCAGCTTCTATTTGGCTTTCATTTCGGCTTGCCAATGTCTAAGCCATAGGAGGCGGCGTGAAGTGATATTGGAGGCGAGGGCTCTGGATGAGAATTTGGCTACTGTCAAGGTGGCATCCGCTGAGTACTTGACAACGGTAATACTTTTTGGTTAACTCATGGCGCCATCTAGACTTCCTGGGTGGTGGCCTAGACCTGAGCTGGTGTAGCCAGAATAACGTGGCCCTGATAAAGAAAGAGGCAGAGGTGGATGCCTTAATTGCCCAGGCAGACGCCATGTGTGCTTTCTGACATGCCTTTTCTGACCTTTTATCTTCTGCCTTTAGTCCCTCTAGGAGCACAGCTGTAGGTTTGAGTTGGAAGTTAGGGACACAACTGGGACATCTACTTCAGGGAATTTCAGGATATCCTCCATTTTCCCCTCCAGGGCGTACAGTGTCCTGTCCCCCACTGGGGTTGGTTAGCATGCCTGGCTGTAGCCACTGGCGCTGCACCGCGTCCATAAAGAGGTCAGGCACAGGGATAACCTCAGGTGTTTCTACTGTCTCTTTCAATAGGCCATGCTTGTGATCCTTGGATGTAGAAGTCTGAGCAGCCTCAGGCCTGGACGTGGGGCCTAACTCTGTGGCCGTCACGGCTTTGTGTAAGATTGATTTGAATAAGGACGGCTTAAACAGGCCAGTGAAGGCTGGTTTGTCAGGCGTGAGGTTTTTGTCTTCAGAAAGCACGAAAATTTCCCCTTCCTCCTGTTCAGAACTTGAAAGCCCAGAGTGAGGTGGGCTGAAAGATGCAGAAGAGGATACAGGCTCTTTGGAGGTGGAGGCCTTAGGTTGTGATTTTCCTTTGGGGCCTTGCTCTTGCGAGAGCCCCTGCGTTTAATGCCCTCAGCTATCCCTTGGGAAATGGCTAAGGAAATTACCTCCCTCATCTCATCAGAAAGAGCAGGGCCTTTACCCCACTTCAGTTTCTGCTTGCTGGGCCTGCGATGGCTAGGCCTGCCTGAGCTGGATTCACACTTCCCACACTGAGAATCCTGGATAGAATCTCGTTCCTCTCCAATGGAGGAGCTAGGGGAGTCGGGGTACCCCCAAGACGCTTCTGGAGACGGATCCCTGGACCTATAGTCATCCCCAGACAAGAATTCACTGTCCTTGGGGGATT